GTCAGCTTTGAGGTACCTGTCATAAAGTAAAAGGGGGGCTGGGAAAATCATATATTTGGTGTCTGCACTTTTGGTAGCCCACCCTTAATAGCTGCACGAAAAGTTGTGGCCCACCCTTAAATTGGTGCTGAAAAATTATGACCCACCCTTTCAGAAATGCTAAAGATACCAGTGTTCTATTTTTCTGTTGCCAAATAATTCTGTGTTACAATACCATAGTGGAATCGCCGTATGTTACGCCAAATATATTGGCGTATCTGTGGACTTGAAAACTAATTTGGCGTGGCGTAAACAAGTAAATATTACGTGCTCCGTTTGGCGTGGCGTAGATTTTCTAGGATAGCAAAGCGTGGCGTATGGTACAACATACAAATTGACAGATTGACTGTCTTCGAATCCTTCGATCGAATTTTTTAAATATTTTTAAAATAATAAGATCGCTTTGCCTTCGGTGAACCCGGAAGGAAATATAAATTTTACACCAAGTAATCTGGAACCACAGGGTCAACTGACCGCAAATTTAGCAGGCCTATAAAGTTATAAACGACAAATACGCGCCAAAATGTGCAGCCTAAATTTGAGAAAATGGTCAATGGAGTCGATGGATTCAAACAAAGGTAGGAATGTGTCTGTTTATTTGATTAATCCATAGTAATCCTGCTACCCAAGTACAATATTTAATACAAGACGAATTCAAAATATTAAATATGTATATTAATATATAAAATTCTGGCATTTTGATATTGAATCGATAATTTGATGATTATACAATGTGAAACTGTATTTACATTTTACAAACTGTATTTAGATTTTATAATTTCGCATATGACAGACCTCAGTCGGACAGTGTAAACTTTAAAACTGACTTTTGCAAGCCGTGAAGGCAGAAGGCTGACTCTTGCCGCTTGCATGTGCCATGACAGTCAAATATTTCCCATAGATTGTAGCAGATGTACAATCAGTGACAAAAGGTTTTTGGATAGTGATATAATATATGCATATCTACGCCTTTCCAAATACTGTTCAGCGTAAAACCACTATCCCTCCCTCCCCCACCCGAAACAATGTTGGGTGGCTGACAAGGAACATTTTGCGCCGGTATTTCCACACACAACATTGAACGGGGGGTGCGGGGGGGGGGTCAATTGTGTTGTAAATGTATGCTCTTTTGCTATTTTGTCCAAAGTGTTTTGTCACTGATTGTCAGAAACGTCATTCTAAGCCAAATTAAAATTTTTGTTATTGAAGCTAGAACTACTTGTATTTTATAGTATCACCAATGGTGTTTACAAATATTATATATGCCGTGTTTTGGTGAACGTATACATGGATAATTTACGCATACATTGTATGTCATTATTCTAGTTTAATCATAATGCGTTTATGCGCGTTTCCAGAACTACTCAAACATTGGGAACTTCGTAGTTTGGAACTGCAAGCTAAACTAGTGGAGAAATCTGGAATTTAGGGCTAGTGAACACGTTCGGAAGCAAATGCAATTATCTATAAGTGCGTATTACATAACTTTTGTGGAGAATATAACGTCATCGTCAACATCCGGATTAATCTCAAAGCTGTAGTATTATAAAGCGCACAGTATGCATGCTATAAATAAGAGGTGGTTATATAGAAAGCAAGTAATAATGGCTTATAAAACAACTATTTCAGATACAATGCGAGAATATGTGCTATTTCTAGGCAAATAGGAACGATATTCCTGCTGAGCGATTGCTAAAAAAGCAAAAAATCTAAATCGTCAATCTCTCTTACCCGAGAGGAAAAGTTCAGCGCAAGCAAGATTTGAAAACATGCAAGAAAATTGGTAGACCAAAGACGCTGTCAGGTAGAGATCGGAGAAAATTAATAAGAATAATAAAAACTCTTCGTGATAAAGACCCAAATTTTACTGTTAAGCGCTTGGTTGCGCACAGCAGGCTGCTGTCACGTCATATTTCCTATAGGACATCTTATCGTGAGGTGAAAGCAGCTGGATTTGATTATTTACCTGCGCATAAAAAGGGGGTTTTAACAAGCCGTGCTCGCACGAAACGAAAGGCGTTTGCACAACAATGCAATAAGATTCTTTCCACAAAGCCCGGATTCTTCTGGCGAAATATTGCCTTCTATTCAGACGGGATTTCTTCTGTTTACAAGGCACAGCCTCTTAGTGACGCTTTAGCCCCTAGAGGGCTTGTATGGAGACAATTTAAGCCTAGAGTTATAAAAACTTTATATAATATTTATGTAGATTATATAAATAATATTATCAGAAGCATGCCTACGCGAATGCACGTTGTATTGCAGGCTGACGGCTTTCGAATAAAATACTGAGAAGGTTACTACGACAACGGATCGTATATCGTATTTCCGTATCAACGAATCCCACACTTGTTCGCGTAATAATTTCCACAATTTCTCACATGTATATGATCGTTGTTGGGAATTTAAATGCACAGTTGCGTGAGTAAGGAATAAATTAATACTTTGGCTTCAAATATGCACGCATTTCGTTATAAAAGACAGAGAAAATGGGTTAAAAGTCGACGATTCACACTTTTCCATTTACTAATTATGATGTCATATTTCAATATACTATAAATAGTGGGAATCGTCAACGAAAGTCGGAATTTCATTGAATCAAATTGATTTCACTCGAAGTTATCCACATAACCAATTCCTTTGGCATAAGAACAATAAGCTAAGAGAAAAAAACAGCAAGAATTGTTGGACTTAATTGCCTTTTCTTTTTAAAATGCGACTGGGATTCGTGTGGGATTCGTTGACGTGTCATAAGCTAATTAGTTAGCGATGACCAGACTACTTATTTGTTAACGCCTATTTAGTACGTTAAATTAAAACACATCATTACAGATCACTGTTGAACGTATAATATTAACTCAGCAAAGCACCTAGCGCAAGCAGCAATGTTTCTTTGTTCATCACACGGAATATGACTATGGAGCGAAAACATTCGCCATCTTACATTCATCATTACTGTGTTCACGTGATCAATAGATCCATTGTTAATTAACTCAGGCGTCACACGTTGCAAGGAATGGCGTGTCTCCTTCGAGAACAATATCTTTGTTCATCTGATTTTTCGGGGCTGGAAAATGAGCAGTATCAGCTTCCAAAACCTGCAAAAACTCGCTCCACGCTATAAGTAATGGTTTCCCCCAACCCTACAGTTTAAGCCATTTATACGTGTATGAATTTATACATATATCACGTTTAACTGAAATTACTTTATCATCGGCTGACCAGCCAAGTAATGGGTAAACACTTGCTCAGGTTCTTGGTAAATTTAAACTTTTCAATCAAGGCTGAACATGTAACAAAAACTTGATATTTATGATACAATATTCTGCCAGCTTCCTACAATCAGTGACAAAAGGTTTTTGGACAGTGATATAATATATGCATATCTACGCCTTTCCAAATACTGTTCAGCGTAAAACCACTATCCCTCCCTCCCCCACCCTAAACAATGTTGGGTGGCTGACAAGGAACATTTTGCGCCGGTATTTCCACACACAACATTGAACGGGGGTGCGGGGGGTCGATTGTGTTGTAAATGTACGCTCTTTTGCTATTTTGTCCAAAGTGTTTTGTCACTGATTGTAGCTTCATTTTATTAAAATTTATATAAAGATATTTTTTATTAACTCTACGAGCAGACCCTATATGTGTAACCTGCCAAAGAGAAACTGGTGGAGCACATTCATGCAAAACATGTTTGGGTGCGTGCCATGCACTCCCTCTATGCAGTGTTAGTACAGGGAATGAAGATGACGAAGGTTATGGTGGCAGCGTTACATGCCTAAACTGTTTTGAAAGTAGGTTATAATGTATTTATTAATTATTATGTAACTGCATGTACTGATGTACAGTGTTTATTTTTGTTGCTGGTACAGTGAATGTCATTAATATGTTCAACACAGTGAAAATATACAGTATTTCTACAATTGACAATCCTGTCAATCCTAAGCCTAAAGTGATATTCAAATTTTGTGATCTCGACTTTATTTTAGGACTAATGGATCATGTTTGAAAACATCGCTATTTAAATTAGGTTTATGACTTATGACTATTAAATTTATTTAAGATTTAGGTTTCCTTCCATCTCTCCTTAGAAGCAGAAATTTCAAAACACAAAGAAGTAAAAAAGCAAGTAAATTGGTGGGAAAAGGGGTTTAGAAAAAGAAAGGCCCAGTCAGATGGATCCCATGAAGAGCTAAGTGTAAAGCGTAGAAAAGTAACCAATAACGATAAAAAGGAAACCTGGGGAATATGTCGTATATGCTTTAGGTATAATCTGTATCACCTGTGAAATATTTATACCGAGGGAAACAGTGTGTTTTGTGGACCCGAGACCGTTGATGTTTCCCGAGGCTTCACCTCGGGAAACATCGACAGTCGAGGGTCCACAAAACACACTGCTTTCCCGAGGTCTCAGTAAATAAGTGTTTTATTATATATCAATAGTCAAAGAAACAACAAATTAAAGAACAAATGAACGTAAATACATGAAATATTTTATTGTTAAAACGTTATATTAAACACTGGCTACACTGCAGTTACTTAAAGCGAAAGTTTTAATTACGTACTAGGCATGTCTAAAGGTCGCATCTTCACATGGTGGCGCACATTATTTTTTTTTGTTATTCGCCGGTCGATAACGTATTATCTCCCTCTCGCGCTGTTGCGAGGAAGACAGCCTAATTTCGTCACTCTCACGTGATATGCTCTCAACCAATAAAACACTAGAAAAATGCGACTTTGACTATTGATATATAATAATGAAATTTGTTTTGGTTATCTAATCTAAATCACATATTTAGAAAATAGTTTCGGAATATAGGATGTTATCCAACCACCTGAAATATAAATAAAACATTTCTTTGAAGTTTCAAGTAGTTGGATAACGTTCTATACTCAGCAACTATTTACATCGCTATGTACTGTACACTGCCCCCCACCCCTGCAAGATCATTTAGAGAATGGGTATTTCTAATGGTCATTTATTCATCCCTATGTCACACAGGGGTGGCCTTTCTTGTTTGGTGTACAAAATTTGCCGTTGTGATTCATACTCAATTAAACGACATGATGAGAGACGACATGTAGGGGAGACTGACACAGTTCCATTTTATACTGTTGGAATGGAAATTGCCAGAGATAACATTATCAAGCATGAAACACAAAAAATTGAAAAGCTAGCAAGTGTGAGCACTTCTTCAAAAGAAGGAAAGTCCACTAATTCCAAAAATAGCGATACAGCCGATACTACAATAATTCCTACAATAACAATTGCAGACAATGCGAATGCTAATATCCATGCAGGATCTTCGCTGTCACAAATTGAAACTGAATCAGAGATCACAAAATCAGAAGATCCTTGTGATGTGACTGGTCCAGAAAATTTGCATAAGTCTGTTTATGAAATGATCACTACAAAATCAAAGCAATCAACCCTGAACTTTGCTGCTAAAGCTAATAAAGCAGAAGTGCCAAAGTCTGATTTGTCTCTTGAGTCAAAAATTGACAATCTTGTAAGGGAATTTCAGGATTTTAAATTAAGCATTGGAAAGAAAATCAATGTTGGATTGAATGAACGACAAAAGCCTTCGGTGTTATCTTCCATTTCTGCGAAAACAGTACATGAAATGTCTGAACTGGTGACCTCCTGGCCAGACATAAAAAACATAATTGAAATGACAGACAAGTGCAAAGAAATTCAGTTTTTTGGTGGTGGAAGTGGTGATCTATCAGTTTTAAGATGCAAAACTTGTTTTGATTATCTCACCAGCTGTAATGATAAAAGTCAAAAGACTCAAAACAATGACATTGTGAAAACAGCAAAGAAAGGAGTAGGAAAGTATGTTAGTATGTAGATACTTCAATATAATTTGTGTTTACTGTTTAATAATTGTTGGCCGAAATTCCTAGCTAAAATCATGTGTTTTGTAAGGAAGTAAAAGAGACTCATGATAAATACCTAAAAATAGATACAAATCATACAATGTCAATGAGACATCCTTTCATGGACAACTTAGACTTGCCCCAAGTCTCTCTCGAATGGGTTTTGATAGGGTATATCCAGTTTATTATGAGATCAGTTTTAAACTTGAAACACAGAAAACTGATCTCATAATAAACTGGATATACCCTATCAAAACCCATTCGAGAGAGACTTGGGGCAACTCTATGCACAACTACAAACAAACAATGAATTACTCATTCCTAAGGTTAAGTAGAATATATTTATTTCATTTTAACATTCTTTTTTACAGGTATTCAGGAAGCTTGAGTACGGGGTGGTTTTCAATGCCAACAAAAGTGACATGCTTTTAAAAGGTGGAGCACAAGAATGGTATTATCTAAAGAATACTGTGAAGCAACACATTACCTGTGCAAGTAGTCAAGTTCATTTCGAAGCACTGCAGGTGAAAGGATGATTTTAAAAGAATCTATACCCTTTGGAATAATTTGATGTATTTTTGTTTTGCTACAGTAAAATACAGCAAGATTTGTTCATCAAATTTTATTTCACATTTTAGTATGCTGATCGTCTAAAAAAACGGCGCCACCGTGTGACGACAGTTACAGAAAATTTAGTGAGAGTTGCACTCAATACAGTGCTAACAAAATGTGCTGGCCAACACTACGAGACGAATATATCTTGTCATCACGTCGGGTCAGCTGTATCAAATTTTGGGTCACGCGATGAAGCCATATTTTCGAATTCGACCGCGTACATTAATGAAAAGCCTGGGAATGACTTGTTATGATAAAAATAGCTAAGTTTAGAGCGCGCTTGTGCTCATGGGATAGATGCATTGTCCACAACTAATTTCCAGAGGGAAAGTCTAGATTTCAACGTTTTGTTTGATACCAAACTTGTTATGGAAAATCCTAAAACATCCATCGCATATTTGGGTTGATTTATGAAGGTTAGCTACATGGTGAAAAATGGTTTAATTTGCTCTACGAATGGGTATATTTCGCTCCAATAAAATTCAAAGTTGGATAAAATATCGTAAATACAAGATCAGCTGTGTGAGGATAAATACTCAGGTAAGAGACGTATGTTTTTACTTTTCCCAAATACTCTTTCACTTGCGCAGATATGGGAAATATTTTCAGGACATTTTCCTCATTTATGGCCTAAATATATTTTTGCTACTATACAGAAGAAATGCCACCAGCACGAAACAAGTTTGCAGTTGGCCATTTCATGAGGACAAAAAAGCAACTTAAGAATTCTTTGGCCGAGGAAAAAGCCAAGCTATCGCTAGAAATAAAGAATAGTCAACAGCAGATTTGTCGACTTAAGATAAAGGTAGGATTTTTCACAACAATATGAATATAGAATATTATGTTACTTGTAATTCATCAT